CCCTACTATTTCACCCTGCTGGCATTTACACTCTTGAGGGCAAAAACTATTGTCTTTCATGTTCGCTAAAGTATGCCAAGTACCTAAAAGCACTTAGTACGTAGTAGTAACTCCACAAATATTTTTGGATTAAATGTATGGATCCTATTGTCCTTATTTATTATTTATTTTTCCACTGTTAGGATGTAAGTCACACGAAGGCAGGGTCCTTTTTGGTCTTGTTTAATATACGGTAAACGCTTAAAAAGTTTTTTTTTTTTTTTAAGACTTTATTTATTTATTTATTTTGAGAGAGAGAGAGAGAGAGAGAGCACACAAGAGGAACAGAGGAAGAGAGAGAAGCAGACTCCCTGTTGAGCAGGGAGCCCAATGCAGGGCTGGATCCCAGGACCCTGAGATCATGACCTGAGCCGAAGGCAGATGCTTAACTGACAGCCACCCAGGCACCCCAATGCTTAACAAGTTCTTATTGGAAGACATATATGAATACCTACTATGAAAAAGTTATTGCCTCTGCTTACGCTATACTGAGTTAATGAATACATTATACACACAGGTGGCATAGTGTGTATCCATCACTCATAGGCAGCTATCTATGGTGGATAAAGAGTGTTATACAATAAGGCAAAGAATGAATTGTTCATATAAATAGTACTTTATGGGAAGCAGTATGTAGGGATATGGTTGCCCCAAAGTTACAATCATGTAGTGAACTGGAATACACTCTGTATATAACACTATTTTTTCTGCAGCTTGCCCCGTCTATGCAAACTCTTCTACTCAACTTCCTCAGGAAAAAAAAAAAGCCGCTGCTTTGCTGCTTATTTGCAAAACTGCTTACCCTGGGGGGCTTTTTTTTTTTTTTGGTTTGTTTACAAAAATGAAAAAAAGTCATTTCAGTGTATAGGAGCACTTTGTGTTCTTGAAGGAGAGATTCATGCTGCCAATGACTTACATAATCTGTTTTGTTTTTCATGTGTATTGAAGGGCATTTGCATCTATATATTCTTGTGTGCAAATGTAGGGGATCCAAAACTATTCTCTGTGATTGTTTGGGTTGTTAATCTCTCCAGGGTTTCCTCAACATTCTCCAAGGCAGTTTCTGGCACCAAAGGGAAAATGGAGAAGTTGAGATGCAATTTTATCTCCCAATTGAACTTGATTAAATGGGGACTGTTCTAATCAAAAGTTTGAATCCTAGGGGAGTGCAGCGTTGTTAACGGGTTTGAGAATATTCGAGAAGAATAGGGAAGAAGAGTACTAAAGTCACGGTGGAGAAGGAAGCAGGCAAGAAAATAATTGTAGTAAAGCTTATTAAGGCATAAAATTAGGTGAACAAATTGTTTCACAGATAGTGTTAAGCTCATTGCTAGACTGGCAAAGGAAGTGGAAGAAAGCTCTTTGAAAACATTATTTTTATTATTTTAATAATTTGTGTAGGATTCATAGTAGCTGCAATCTGTTAGCCAGAAACAGTTACCAGCTGGTGTCATCATGGAGTAAATGTAGCAGGCTGAATGCAAACATGTTTTTCCTTTTACCTGGAGAGCATTCAATTTTACAAAGTTTCTATTCATTTCCACCTGCATGTGAGGTCTGCCCTTGTAGATAAGGAAACCTGTTTATTGAGTGATTTAAGCGCTTCGATTAGGTTCACACCAAGTTCCACAACTGTAATAGGGAGACCACACCTGGGACAGGTGGTGTTTACACAACTAATATTACCTCTCATTAAAAATGCATACTTGGGGGGCAACTGGGTGGCTCAGTCGGTTAAGCATCCAACTCTTGATTTCAGCTGAGGTCATGATCTCAGGGTCCTGGGAATCCAGAGGATTCTCTCTCTCCCTCTGCCCCTCCTCACTGTGCTTTCTCTAATAAAAATAATAAATCTTTAAAAAAAAGGAATACGTGGGTACATGCTTGAATTGTCTAATTGCTTGATTCTATGCATTGCTTTCCTTGTGGTTACCTTCAGGAAATGGTGGCACTCCATTAGTTATTTTACTGAAAGCAAAAGCAGATTTCTGGGATAATGTACTTTGAAAAGGGTTAAAGTGCACTTATTTATGGAAATATACATTTTGTTAGTAACGTAACTGGGATATTTGTTATCGTATTGTCTTCTGAAATTCTCCTAAATAATGTCTTTTAACAATGACATAATCATGTTAAGAGTGTTACTGTTTTTCCCCTGTTTATCTGGAAACTGACAGAGTAGGTGCCAAAATACTGCAGGATGTAGAGATCACTCAGCTTTGCCTATAAAGCCAGAGGGAGAGGGAAAATAATTTAATTGTTCTTTTGCAATTCCATTGCCCCTTCCTGCCTCTTGACTCAAAGGGTCTCAAGAGGAGAGAGAGGAAATTATGGGCTCTTTTGCAGATGTTCATGGGGTTTCTTCAATGGCGATTTGAATGTATGTCAGGGATGTTAGTGGTTGCTAATCCTGGCTCTGCTTTCTCCTGGTTGTCCTTAGTTCCATCTCCTCATTTCTGAAATGGGATATTATACTTCTCTTATCTCCTTAGAATGTTGTTCTGAGGAGCAAATGAGATAACATCTAGAAAGTGCTTTCCACCCTATAAATTGCCGAAGCACTCACGTTATACATTTGGGTAGCTAACAAGGTTATACTTATCCATGTGATATCAAGCGACTTTATAGGAAATGAGAAACGTCTCAAATAAAGTAATATAAAAAAGTATAATGAATTTCTACTTGGTAAAGCAACGTGTATATTTTAAAATAAGTAATATCATTAACCAGATGCATTCAGGAAGTGATCTTTGAGTTTTATTTTTATTTTTTTGTCCTATCACAATTTCTTGCTTTGGAGAGTAGTGTGATGCCATTAATAGGATTTTAAACTTCAAGTGAGAGAAAAATAAATAGATTAAGTAAGCTCTAAAGAAGTTGATTCATCTTGCTCAACACCTTTTTTACTAAATATAAGCTCACACAGTATCAGGAAGGGCACTGTTTGTGGTTGTTTATAGAGTTGAAAAGACGAAAGGAAGCAGAGGCAGGGAAGCTTTGTTGAGAAAAATCCCACCTGTCTAGAACAATAAAAATAACTTCCTATGGGAAAGAGTTAGCATCCCTGAAAGAGATCTGGATCTTAACTGATGGCTTGAAGGGGACAGTCTGACAAATGGAAGAGATCAGTACAGTGTCTCAAGAAAAGACAAGTACCGCACAGATCCATAAAGAGGCCCGGTGGGAAGGTTGACTGCTCTGAAGGCATGAGATGCCAGAGTAGCCAGGAGGGACATGATGACCTTGACAAGGGGATCAAATTGCATTGTTTCCCTCTTCAACACACTGCCACTCTCCACTTGGGTCAAGCAAGTATAGGGATTGTGAAGGGGCAGTTACTGCCATTTGATGGTACATCCATTCATTACCTGAAAAACAGAAACCATTATTAAACAAAGATTTGATTCTCAGGTAAATGCAAACTTTAGATGTTTGAAAAAGAAAGTTCAAAAAATCTGCACATAAACAAGAGCTTATTTAGCTTATGAAATAGAGGTAAGTGTAGGTCTCATCATCCACATGGGGGGGTAAGGGGTGAGTCTTGCACATTTAGGAACTCAATGTGTATTAGCAGGATGAATTTTAAGAGGTGACCCCTAAGCTTCTCTTGCATTGGAAGTACTGCATGGTTGTGGGCTGGTGGGTATGGTCCTGGAAGAAATGAAGTGTGCGTTCAACAAAGACCCTGATAGCAGGTGCCTTAATGGCTCATGGATGGATGCCGATTGAATAAAATTGTAGAGTTGGACACACGAAGTTTTTAGTTAAGGAGAGACCGGAATAAAACTTGGGCAACAGTTAGAATGTCTTGGGTGGGAATTAAAAGCAGTCTGGAGCCAGTTTCCCCAGCCAGCTCGAGTGCAGTCCTGTCTAGAGTCTGCCCAGCGGTGTGCGAGTGTTATCCTTGCACAGAGGCCGGCCAGATTTGCGTCCATCCTCAGAAGGAGAAAGCTGCGGATGTAAAGGTCTCGGATCCGTGCCGGCGACGCTCTCCTCGGGGCCTCTCTCCTTGCTCCGCCTTTGCTTCTCTCCCAAATATCTCCTCGCTCTAGGCTGAAGGGATTCCCACCCCCTCAGCTGCCTTCTCCGAGCCCCGCGGAGCAGCGGACTCCTCCCCTGGAAACTCCTCCGGGGCTGGGGAAGGCTTTGGCGCATGCTCCGTACCTAGGGCAGGTTTTTGCTGCGGGTAGCAGGGCTCCTGTCACACCGGCTGGCGGGTTGTGGCGGTGCCAGCCAGTGTTTGCGAGTGTGCCTGCGTGCCCGCGCCTGGGCGGACCGACCCGGAGCAGCAGTGCGACTCTTCCCGGGGACGCGGCTCCGCACAGACGCCTCGCGGGCAGCCGCCGCGGGGGCTCCTCTGCAAACTTGCGGCGGGCGCCGTCGGCCCTCGCGGCTCCCGCGCCCAGCGACCTGAGGGCAAAGGCGCCGACCGGGTGCGCGTTCCGGGCGCGGTGCCCGCGGCCGGCCGAGGCGGCGGGGCCGGGCCGCGCCCTCGCCTTTGGCCCGCGCCCTGGCGAGCCTCATGCAGCCCCCGCGCTCGCGGCCGCAGCCGCCCGGCTGCCCCGGGCAGGTGCAGGACCCGAGCCGCGCTCCCCAGCGCCTGAGCGCCTGAGCGCCGGCGGCGGGATGCCCCGCGTGGCTTGAGAGCGCGCGCCGCGCCCTGGCCGGAGCGGGGAGCGGGCCAAGCCGGGCGCCCCCGGGAGCGCAGGGCGCCCCACGCCGCAGCCGTAGCCGCGCGCGCCGGCGCCCGCCTCCCCGCTCGGCTCGCAGGCCCTGACGCTGCCAGCCGGGGAGTGCGGGAGTGCCGCGGGGCCGCCAGCCAGCCGCACGCCTCGGCGTCAGGGGCATGGAGGAGCGGCGGGCTCGGAGCCGCGCCCCGGAGTCCCCGAAACTTCCGAGCGGGCGCCAGTCCGCGCCGCTGCCGCCGCCGCTTCTTCGCCTGCCGGCCTGAGAGCGGGACCATGGATGAAAGGTTCAACAAGTGGCTGCTGACGCCGGTGCTCACTCTCCTCTTCGTGGTCATCATGTACCAGTACGTGTCCCCCTCCTGTACTAGCTCCTGCGCCAACTTCGGGGAGCAGCCCCGCGCGGGGGAGGCCGGCCAGCCGGCCGCCCCGAGTCCCGCCCGCAGGGCACAGGCGCCGCCGGAGGAGTGGGAGCGGCGGCCCCAGTTGCCCCCGCCACCCCAGGGGCCGCCCGAGGGGCCTCGGGGGGCCGCGGCGCCAGAGGACGAGGACGAGGAGCTCGGGGAACCGGAGGAGGAAGAAGAGGAGGAGGAAGAGGAGCCGGACCCCGAGGCCCCCGAGAACGGCTCTCTGCCCCGGTTCGTGCCGCGCTTTAACTTCACCCTGAAGGACCTGACCCGCTTCGTGGATTTCAATATCAAAGGGCGCGACGTGATCGTGTTCCTGCACATCCAGAAGACCGGGGGCACCACGTTCGGCCGGCACCTGGTGAAGAACATCCGGCTGGAGCAGCCGTGTAGCTGCAAAGCCGGCCAGAAGAAGTGCACCTGCCACCGGCCGGGCAAGAAGGAGACGTGGCTTTTCTCCCGCTTCTCCACCGGCTGGAGCTGCGGGCTGCACGCCGACTGGACGGAGCTCACCAACTGCGTGCCGGCTATCATGGAGAAGAAGGACTGTCCCCGCAACCACAGCCACACCAGGTACTGTCTCCGGCCCCCTCTCGCTTTCCTGCCGCCTCCCCGCCCCTCTCCCCTCGGCCCCTACCCTGGGCGGCCCTGCGCTGCCTGAGCGTGCGGGTGGTTCCCTGGCGTCTTCCAGCGATTGGGGCAGAGGCTTCGGGAGTGGAGTAGGGAACCGCTGGATAGCGCCCTGGTCTTGAACTCACTCCTCCCCTCTCCCCTCCCCTTCCTTCTCCCCGCCGCTTCCCGATACCCCCTGTCACCTTCAAAGGTGTCCCGATCAGTCGTGTGTATTCTTCCTTGTGCCTAGGACGGCGTGGCCTGCCTCCCACCGTGCAATGCGGAGGAGGCCTGGGTTAGACTAGCGAGGTCGGATCTTGTACCTAAATTGTGTGAGTGGAAACCCAAACCCGGTAAAAAGCAGGAGGAACTGGGCATGGAGAGGCAGGGCAGGCGTTTTCCAGGCATGCTGAAGCCGGAGGCGAGTCTAATCCCTCTCTAAGTGGCTCTTGGGAGGCTCCTCGCTAGCTCAGGAAACAATCCTCTTGGTGTGTCTTTGAAGACACACTTTCAAATTCCCGCTGTACCTCGATAACCCTAATTCTGGAGGTGGTCTTTGTTGCTGAGCAATGCCAGGATTTGGACTCATGCTGTTCTCAGCAAGATTTCCACTCTCCCCCAGACCAATCCATCAACACATTCCAGAAGTACTTGTTAAATGCCTACTGTGGGCCGGGCAACGTGCTACGGGGACAGAAAGATAAAATAAGGAAAATCCCTTCCTTTCAGGATAGGTGGTTTTCTCTCCCCCCCCCCCACTTTTAAATAGTAATAATGCTGAGAATTAGGAAAGTTTGAAATCTTAATAGCCAATGAAACTGCTTACATTATTAACATCCTTTGAGAGAGGCATGAGCTTAAGAATTTGGTTGAATGTTCTTTCTGCCCACTGCAATTTGAAGATTAATCTGACATGCTTGCTCAAGGGACTAAAATATTAAAAGCTTGGAACACTAGTTTATTGAAGTTTTTATCTCAAAGGTTTCAAACAATTTGGTGTAAGGAAACAGGAATTTAAAAACTCAAGCTCAATATGTTGATATCAGATAGCTTTTGTATTTGACATTATGGAAAGACTTCATTTACTGGAAGCTACCCGGATTCTGAATTCACCACCACTGAAGCATCTAATTCTACTTCATTTCTCCAAGAATGAGCAAAATTTCATTATGGGATTTTTTACTCTGGCAGTTTTTCAAATACTTTCTCTCCTCCCTGCTCCTTTCCCTGTTTAATGGAAATTGGTTAGAATAGGAAACTGGTTGGACTTGGAATGAAGGCATTAGGCTCCTTCCTTAGCATATTTTAAGGACCTTTTACTTTTAAAAATTTCTAATCCTGTAGTGTTTTAGACCCTGCTCCTCTGTTTTAGCTTAAAATAGTTTTTCAATTAATTATTACTTTCAAACTTCCTAACAGACGAGACTATTATTTCAATGAGAGACAAGCTTTGCTGCATCTCACCCCAAATTGTACCTTTTGTGTTTCAGCCTTTACCTATTAATTACTGACTGACCCCAAGGACTTTGCTACTCTGATTCCTAGCTTCCATTTCAATAAAACTAGAGACTTTGATTATCACAGAGGAACATCGACTCTACAGTAGGGATGGGCATTTTATTCTATCAATATATGTATAAAAGTCTCAGTGGATAGATGAAGAGTTTTGGAGAAACTAGAGATTATGGAACCTGAAAATAATTGGATTTTTGCTTAGTGATGAAGTGTTCTTCTGCCATAGACCCTACATGGATTAAGCCGTAAGGTCTCACTCCTATAGGAAATACTCAGTATCTCTCTACTCTGTGATGTGGGAAAATTCCACTTTGGCTATTTGAACATACGGTTTCTACTGTCAAATGTTTTTTTCTGTTTAGTGATGGACCATGAACATTTATTTCTCTTTGAATCACAAGTTATCAGATAATCACCCTGCACTGGGTTGCTTTTTTTTTTTTTTTAGTTTTTTAATTTTCACGGTAGGTTTCTTTTTGGGGGGGTTGTTACCACTCTATAATTCCTTTTCCTTTTCTTCTTCACCTTCTCTCCCCTTCTTGGTATTCTAAATTACTTCTTTCGTTCTAGATGTTTTAGGAAGGAATGGTTGTGGGTTATGTGAGGCACCCTGCATCGAAAGTTATAGGAAAAAAGTTGAAGGGATGTCCGGTAGCATCTTCCTCACAGAGAAGATTGAATTACTGGTCTGTCATTGGAATGCCTGTGTACAGCCTTCTACAGTCAACTAGATTAGCCTGGATAATGGAGGGTACATTTCCAGAAAGCAAAATGGCAGATAATCTATTGCTACATAATGGGACCAAGGTTCTTCAAATAGGGCTGACTCTAAGCAAACTCGAGAAGTAGATCATGTTGATTTTAGTTCCCTAGTCTTTTTCCTTTTGGTCCTCTTGAGGGTCCCTCTCCCCATTTCTCACAGGGATTAGTGCCTTTGTAAGTCATGTAGTGAGCAAGAGCAAGGATTCTGGATTCAGATAGATATGGCTCCTGTGTAACCAAGAGTGGCCCTTACTAGCTATGTAACCAGGAGTAGGTTACTCCTTCTGAGCCTCAGATTCTTTATCTTTAAAGCACAGGTAGTAATTAGTACTTCTCTTATAGAGGTGTTGTGAGAACTAAATGAACAAATGTGTGCAAAATGCTTACCGCAGTGTCTACGTATAGTGTAATGTGCTGGAATATAGTACTTTGCAGGTATATAGTAATAGTTAACATTAGTTGTTAGTTGTAATAACACTGTTTTCCTGAGTCAAGGCCTTCTTTCATGAAAGGATCTGAGGTCAGTTCCTTAGAGCAGCGCATTGTAAATGGGTCACCTTATTTTATAGAGATGCTATTTTATGATTACTTGTACTGAGACAGAATTCAAATTTAAGAAATAAATGGAAAATTATGGACATTTGAGCATCAATCAATGCAGGGGACATGATGGAAGACAGGGACACAATATAATTGGGTATATATTCTGTTGGTGATGGAACAAGCAAACAAAAACCAACCTGTCTGGGATGGTGTGAGCAAGTGGGAATATTGAGTACCAAAGGCAGAAGTGGGAAGCCAACTCTGAAAGGAGATGCATGGTTTAGATGAAGGAGCCATCATATGGACTATATGGACCCAGGAAGGGACAAGGCTCTGGGGCTGGCAGTTTGGATTCAGCACAGAGGGCTTTTTTGAGCACAGAAATTAGTTAGAGTAAAATAGGAAGCAAATCAGAAGGTGGCACATATGAATGACCTCTTTGATCCTATCACTGATGATTTCTTCTCGTTCTATTTCTTTTGCTCTCCCCCGCAACTATCTTTTTGGTAGGTTATTCTTATTATTCTTGTGCTGCCTTCTTTATTACTGTTTTTCCTTTTATCTGCATGTTCAGGTCTTTAGAAGACTATTCTTTACCATTGTTGAGTATGGATAGAATCATAGCATTTTATGGCTAAAAAAGACTGAAGAAGTAATCAAGTCCTATAAAATATCTGGCAAAGGAGCAATTTAATTCTAAGGAAGTGAAATGATGTATCTAAGGTTTCTTCAGGGAACTTGAATCTTTATTTTAGTAAGTTGTATTTGATGTTTTGCCTCTTGTTTTCTTCTATACTTCTATATACTTCTATAAAAGTATAGTGGAGAGTGTTTTAAGCACTTATTATGTGCCAGGTACTGTGATAGTTCTGACAATACAGTTTTGAATAGTGTCAGTCCTATGGAGCTTAGGCTATTAGGAAAGAAAGACCTTGATCTTTGGTAGGTGAGTATCACTCTCATTCTTAAATAATGGTAGAAAGAGATTTCTTTAAAAGATTTATTTATTTTAGAGAGAGAGAAAGAGTGAGAGCATGTGTGGGGGGAGGGGCAGGAGAGAATCTCCAGTAGACTCCACACTGAATGCTGAGCCCCATGTGGGGCTTGATCCCATGACCCATGAGATCATGACCTGAGGCAAAAGCAAGAGTGGACCACTCCACCAGCTAAGCCACCCAGGCGCCCCATTGCTGGAAGGAGATTCTGTTCACACCTTTTGTAGGGGGGGGCGTAGTGATTTTTCCCTTTTATGACCTGTTTTCTTTTGGTTCTAGTAGACTAGTTGGAATCTTATGAATATTGTAGTAGATAGGACCTTCTGTGTTGCCAATGACACAACCCTAACTCAGTTCAGCCAGGGGGGAATTATTGGCTTAATAACCAGAGCATAGGAAACATAGGGGTAGAGTTGGTTCTAAGAACGCCTGGAACTGGAGGTCTGGGGTCTTTCTCCCCATATTCCTTTGGATATTGACCTCATCAGATTGGCTAATTCCATGAAATGGGTAAATGGCTATCATATCTAATAGCTCCACAGGCCAAGCAGGTAGCAAGCTTTCTCCATGTTCCAATTTAAAATCTTGGGGAATGACTCTGATTAGTCCAGCTTGGAACTTGTGACTATCCTTTCTGCCAGTCCATGTGGCCAGGGCGATGAGGTTTTCGGACCCACCTGGTATCACAGTACCATCCGTGGAACTGGTGTGTGTGTGTGTGTGTGTGTGTGTGTATGTGTGTGTGTGTGTGTGTATGTGTGTGTGTGATGATAAGAAGGGGACCTCACATAGATACAGCTCCCACATAGACCATCGGGTTCTGGATAGTCTTTCTAGTTGTGTCAGTTATATGTGTAAATGAATAAAAAATAAACTTTCAGATCTCCCCTTTGCATTCTTGCATGTAGGAACATTTTCAAGTCAAGCTATAGCTCCAGTTTACTTGCAGCAGCTGGAAACCATGTCATATGAGGAATAATTTGAAGGAACCGGAAGTATTTAATATGGAGGTGGAAAAATTAAGGAAAGATGTAAAAATTGCCTTCTAATAGTCAAAGGAAGAAGATGTGGAAAATGGAGGAAGCTTGCTCTGTATTTCTCCAAAGGATGGAACTAGGGTACATGGGGTACCAGTGGTAGGATAAG